AATATTTAATACTGGAAAAATTCAACTGTATGGTTGAGGGAGAAGAGAGCAAAGTTGGCCAGAGGCATGGCAAAAAAAGGCCATCCAGTTGTGACAAAAACAATTTAGAAATGTTACAAATCTACCATTGTTACACTATTACTAGGAATTCTTATTTTCAACCTGAAACTGTTTGGGCAGAGCCATCCATCCCTTTCATTAAACTCATTCTAAGGTAGATGAACCAAGAATAAATGCCACTTAGATCAGACTATTTACTTCTCAATGATTTTTGTTTAGAAGCATTCTACCAATATAGATAATATCTTGTGGAAGTATCCACACAATCTCTTTGGTTCAAAGACCACAGCAGTTTGTTTGCTGAATATATTTGTGCTCCAGAAAAATATGTGCAAAATGCATCTGAATTTCTTTTGCCATTTTACAGTAAAAGGTACCTTATAGACCCCTTGGGTGTAAGATTGTAAAAATAGAGGCTTTGGTAAGAAAAAGAAATCTTATTTCAGTTAAATTTAAATACATTTAGTTGGCCCAAGGATATGACCTTCCTGAGACATGATCCAAAAGTCCCCCTGATATTCCCTGTAGCCTTTCCAGATAGAGGCATGGGCAATTTTGTTCTACCAGCTCATTTATGAAATCTGGATACAATCTATGTAGTGTAAACCTGCTTGGCTGCGCCCTGCTGAAGCGGTGAAGGAAAAGTATAACAATAGAAATAGAATGACTTGTTGGAACATTTTGGGCATCTAGAATGATTCTAGTTGTCAGAAATTCTGAAATATATTCTGAAATCTGAAAAAGAGGGGAAAACTATGCAGCTTTTTTCTGCCAAGAAACTTGTTCAATGTATTGCCTGTCATTCTAGCCGATGTATGAACCCAATTCAAATAGATTAGGAATTAGGCGTCCATTTGATCTGATACAGAACAAGCAAAAAATTGAGTCTGCTATATAAGCTATTTTTGAAGGTTTTCCAGTACATCCTACCCCCTCCTCCCTGTTTTGTTTTTAACAATTAATATGCATAAAAGTGCATCTGTTTAAACTTTTTTATTTACCTTATTTATAATTGTGCCAAGTATTATTTTACTACTGTCAAGATATTGGTGTATTACATTGTGAACAGAATCTGTAAAATGTTTAATAAAATAGTTCTCCTTACATTAAATTAAACCTGTCAATTTTTGTAAGTTATTAATCAAATAAATACTTGTCTCCTACATGGTAGTATGTGTTTTGGCTTCTACAAGTTGCTTTTCCCTCCCTACTTATCACAATCACCTTGGTGCAGAACACTGGAATGTTTTCCTTTCTATCTGTTCGAAGGTAGGCTCTCCTTGAAAAGGAAGACAATTTTAAGAGTGTTTCTCAAGGTAGATGTGGTGGACTGCTTCCCCATCAGCATCAAATTGATTTTATTTTCATAGTTTCCTTGAACATTTGCCACAAACTATTATTTTTCATCGGAGTGTTGTGTGGATTCTGGACTGTATAGTTGTGTTCTAGCAGCATTTTCTCTTGGTTTCACCAGCCCCCGGTGGCTCAAATCCTTGTGTCAGAGGCCTGCTGACTGACAGGTCAGCGGTTCGAATCTGGGGAGAGCAGGTTGAGCTCTGGGTTCTTGTAGGTTTTTCGGGCTATATGGCCATGTTCTAGAAGCATTATCTCCTAGGTTGAGCTCCCTTTGTCAGTTCTAGCTCCCCATGCAGGGACATGAGAGAAGCCTCCCACAAGGGTGGTAAAACATCATCCAGGTGTTTCTGGGCAATGTCCTTGCAGATGGCTAATTATCTCACACCGGAAGCAACTTTCTCAGGTCTCTCCTGACACAAAAAAACCCTGTATCACATCTTCAGAGGGTCTGATGCTGGTAAGGAAGCAAGTGAAGTATATATACCTATTTTTCATACCTTTTGTTTAGGAAATTGCTTCCATTTTTTCCTCTATATCAAGTCTGCTGTTGCTCTAGCAAACTAGTGAGGTTTATTCATACCACATTCTTAAAACATATTTCTGAACAGCAGAAAGTACTGTAGCTGGATTGGAAAGCAGTTGCATCTACAGGTGATTCCAGGACAAACTTTGACTCTTCTGTCCATGTTTCAACTCCCTTGAGTCAAATGCAGGAAAGTGTCATCATACTGTGTAAGTGTGCTCTACAGTATTCTGAAAATGTGATTATAGAGCTCTTCTGTTTAGCCTTGAGGCAAGGTAATCTCCATGGATAATACGTTTCTACAAGTAGAATCCAAAAAACTTCAGTCTTAACATATTTGCCAGCAGAACCACTTTCAGAGGTTTCTCTATTGGCATTTGTTGGCCCAATTCCAGTGAAACTCGAATTGTGTGGGAAAAAACACCCTCCCATGAGGAGATGGAAACAGCTGCTGCAACTTGTATTAGCAGAGCTGGCAGTAAAAAGGGTTACAATAAGTTGAAGCATAGAGAAACTGGTTCATACAAACCTTGTACAAAACATACTATGTTGGCCCTGCAGCAAATCCATAATAGAGAACCTTTATTACACAAAATATATCATCCAAGGTTTTGAATCTCCACAACTTTCTCCATCAGGCAAAAGATGTTTAAAAACCGTACAGAAAAAGAAAATTGAATACAGTACTGTGTTGACTTTAGGCATTTGTCATGTTTGCAACGTAAATACTAATGTGACATAAGAAGTACTAGTGGAAATACATGGTTATGTGAAAAAGACTAAAAATCCACACTATAATATAGAATTAACATCTATACATGTAATGCCCATTTTCAATTTGAATTCAATTGTAAGAACAGCAAGGCATTCAAAGTTTTTTTTAAAGATCTAATATGTTGTAAGACTATAATAGTGTAATTACTCTTCAAATGCTCATGTTTGAGCCTTCTGACAAAGTTGAACTTCTTGGTTAATAACAATTTAAACTCAATTGAATTGAAGGGTTGCACTCTTGATTCGGTAATCCTTTTAAAAACTGTTCTACTCACAAAACTGATTTTCAAAGCAGAAATGAACTCATATTGGCAGTCAACCCATTTATTGTCAGGACATGCTCATTTCCTACATCTTTGTTTCATCTGCTTTGTAATGACATCATGCTTCATACGCTTGGAACAAAATTTAGTTCAATATTATCCACATGGTTTACATAAGCATACTAGCAAGGCTTCAAATATTAACAAGAGCAAAGCTTTCCTTGAAATAAAAAAAAAATCATACTATCATGACAAGGGTACAATTCGAGGACTATTTTGAGTTTTCTCCCCCTAAAGATTTTCCTAACTCTTTAAAGATTATTAAAAATTATGGAGAAGTAAACTGGATAAGGAGTTGCAATATTGCATAGAGGACAAAATGCTTGTCCCCGCTGTGTTAGGTTTAGTCTGTGACTGGCAGTATGTTGAAAGGAAAATAAGTTTGCTGTTAGATTAAATTTGCAACCCACATATTTGTAAACCTGATTCATTTCTCTAGCATATTTTATATAATTACAGCATTTATATTCTTCCCTTCTCACCCTGAAGGGGATTCAGGGCAGATCACTGAACACACATACACAGCAAACATTCAATGTCATTAAACAGACAGAACAGACAACAGATAGAGGTATTATGTTGGCATTTCCCCCCAATTTCGGCATCCTGGAGGCTGTACTTGATTCTGGCCACGGGGGGTGCTGTCACTCCATCCTCTATGGCGAGGAGCCTTGATCACAGACTTCCTTTGATTGCTGGCATTTTCTGGCATTTCTTTTATGGTGCCTTAAAATACCTCCCACTTAAGCGGTGCCTAATTTTTCTACTCACAGTTCACAGCTGTTTTTGAACTGCTTAGGTGGACAGTAAGCTGGGCAGGTGCTCACCCCAACCCGGGCTTCAAACTGCCAGTATTTCAATTGGTAAGAAGTATTGCTGCAGGTGATTAACTAGTTGTGCTAAAGCCCAACCCCCATAACAAAAATTAGTTTAGGAAGTTAGCTGAGCTGCTGAAGGCGTTAAGATCATTGCATTCAATAGCACATCTGTACTCACGACTGGGAAAGTTCACTTTGATGAAGGGCTGGAGAAATTATGGCTTGGATTGCATTATGGATTTCCTCAGTGCTAAAATTTGAACTTTTTCATGGGCAGGTAAATTTGGAACATCAATGTGGACTAGTGGTTTGAATATTAGACTAGGAGACTAGGGTTTAAATCTTCACTCAGAAAAAGAAACTCCTGGGTGATCACATTACTGACAAGTCAACAGGAGCCATGATGGATTGTTTATAATGAAAACTGACTACTTGCCCATGTGTGTCAATTTTTATTAATTGGACTAGAGGAGGGGATCCTCTGATCCTCCAGATATTTTGACCCACAACTCAAATACTGGCTGAAGCCTATGAATGTTGAGGTCCAAAGCGTTTTAGTGACCAAACCCACTGACTTGTACAAAGACAACAATCCCTCACACAATATTAGGAACTGTTTAACAGACCACCCAACCTATTGTTAAGTCAATAAGGATGGTAAAAACAGCAGAGAGGAAACAGGCAGGGACATCTAATTACCTTTCAAGAAGAGTTTGCTCCAGGCATAGTCAGTCCATTGTATGCTAATCAAGGTGGTCAGTTGAAATATTCACACCTAGCCCAACTGACAAAAGTCCTTTGTCTCACCCTGGTCATTCCACAGATATATAAACCCCTTTTCCCAGTTACCAAACAGACCTCACCTCTGAGGATGCTTGCCATAGATGCAGGCGAAACGTCAAGGAGAAATGCCTCTAGAACATGGCCATATAGCCCGAAAAAACCCACAAGAACTTAAGGATGGTAATGTTCCACATGTCAATAAGGATGGTAATGTTCCACATCAAAGCAGAATGGAAAGAGTGTAATGCTGGAAGGCAGCAGGATACTACAATATATTAGGGTATTTGATGGGCATAGGGAAAACATCAGCAGAACAATTGCCTAGATTAATAAGAGGAACAATGAAACAAGAGGACTTTAAGATAGTTTGGTATCTATTTATTTCATATATAAACATTGATGTGGTAAGTAGGTCACTTCGTACACAATAGTCATTCTGGACAAATACCCTTGCCAAAAATCTTGAATTTCCAACACTACTTGGGCATGTGACCGGATACTATTCATAAGCAAAATAAAAAGAGTTAATTTTTTATCTGAACATTTACCTCCAGTATCTTTGTGTTTTAGTCTTTAATGCAGAGATTTAAGAAATCTGAATACTGGGCTTGCAACAGGTCCTGGCCTTTTCTTTTAATGGTCCTTGGCAAAGACAGTTTACAAAGGCTTCCCTAAAATGCTCATGACTTTTTCCCACAGAGAATCATTCACACACACCAGCCATTTGGCTGTGTTCCTATGCAATGAAGTTGTATCATATTTCCCAACATATGGCTTGCCTGCCTCTAAATCTTATCTAGACATAGCTTCTCACTGCTAGAAGTTAACTAGAGCTAAATGGGATTAGTATTTACATTCTTAATAATTTTTAAGGACTATTTCACATAATATCATTCAGAAGTGTGTTTAAAGATATACCTGCTTAAGGCAAAGATCTTTTACGTTATGCACACATGTGAAGGGTTGGCAGTTGCTAACGCCAAGCAATCACGTTTCTCCTTCAACTGAAGTTAAATCCCTGTAGAATACCATCACTTGATGAAGATGTACACCGGTTGCTAGAAACATATTAGGGACACTTTCGCTGTAAACCCACATTGATAATACCCAATAATCCAATACCGGATTAACAAACTCTCCCACTAGATAAATACTATTCATACCATACTTCAGAGTCTTGAGGGAAGCAACAGTGTTGTAGTTCTTCAGACCGTAGAAATTATTTTTCTCTAGAATGTTCAACACATTAATTTTCCAATAACCCAGTTCCTCTGTATGTAAAAGTGTAGTGTAGAGCTGGGAAATAGGCAGGATTTTAAAACAAAGCAATAGCATAGGAAACTAGTATCCGTTTCATACTAATTAGAAGCATTTAACTTGTATTGACTAACTAAGAACCATCTTGGTGGAATGGAAATGAAGAATCATTGAGCATGAACAAGAGCTCCAGCTCCCTGCCCATATCCAAATCCTTTGGGGCCAAAGTTTTTTGCATAACAACCTGCAAGGATAAAGAATTAACTGTTAGTTCAATTCCATTGTGCACATGTATATTGAAATAGCAAAGCAAGCAAACTAAAATCATTGTCAGAAATGTGAGATTTTCATCTAGGGTTAAAGCATGGCTTCACACCAGGAATGGGCAACTGTAGAAGGCTAAGGGATTTGGATAAGCACCCCAGAAGACCTTGCAGGGCTATCACAACTCAACAAAAAAGAAAGGTACTTTCAAACAACCTCTAGCACAGTGGTTCTCAACCTGTGGGTCCCCAGGTGTTTTGGCCTACAACTCCCAGAAATCCCAGCCAATTTACCAGCAATAACCTATGGATGTGAGAGCCTGACCACAAGGAAGGTTGAGCGATCGAAGATAGACACTTTTGAACTGTGGTGTTGGAGGAAAATTCTGAGAGTGCCTTGGACCGCAAGAAGATCAAACCAGTCCATACTTCAGGAAATAATGCCCGGCTGCTCACTGGAGGGAAGGATATTAGAGGCAAAGATGAAGTACTTTGGTCACATAATGAGAAGACAGGATACCTTGGAGAAGATAACGATGGGGAAAATGGAAGGAAAAAGCAAGAGGAGCCGACCAAGGGCAAGATGGATGGATGGTATCCTTGAAGTGACTAACTTGACCTTAAAGGAGCTGGGGTGGCCACAGCCAACAGGGAGCTCTGGTGTGGGCTGGTCCACAAAGTCACAAAGAGTTGGAAGTGACTGAACAAATAAACAACAACACAATGAGGATTTCTGGGTGTTGAAGGCCAAAACATATCGAGACCCACAGGTTGAGAACCACTGCTCTAGTAGGTGTGTGGTGGGCATTTTCACGCTATTTTAAAATCCATCTGGTCCATTTAAGGCCCAAGAGAAGAGAAGTCTTCTTATAATAATAAGAAGCAATCACTTCCTGTTTCCAAAAAGGCCAAGGATGACCTCCAAATTTGTTTAAACGTTGCTCATGTTTACAGAGGGAAATTGGGAACATTGGAAGGCAAATAAAATGCAATAAAATGTTCTCAACTAGTATAATTGTCTCCCCACCAGTGATGACTATATTCTAATAAGATGAAAACTTGCTATCTAATTTTCTATGGTCTTACCTTTGCAATAAATTTCACCATCCTTCTCTGTCAGAGTTGTTGATTCAAGGCTTTTGCCACATTTGGCACATCGAAAACAGTTTTTGTGCCAAGGCTGAAAAGAAAGGATCTGATTTCAGATGTTCTTATTGTATAATCCAAAAATCATGTTGTTATTTCAATATGCTGGACAGGTTGAGTATCTTGGGACCAGGCCTTTTTTGGATTTTGTGATGGGTTTAAGTATATACATGTGTATGGATACACACACACACACACACACATATATACATATATTGAGATATCTTGGAGATGGGGCCCAAGTCTAAACACAAAATTCATTTATATTTCAAGTATACTTTATCTAGTACAACCTCCATATCTATGTGGATATATTCCAAGACCCTCTGTGGTATCTAAAAATAGATAGTAGCAAACTATATTTTGATGTATTATTAAACCATCCAAAATATATGGACGATTTTGGAACTAAAAGCATTTTTGATTTCCAGAAAAGGGCTTTTTAAAAAATCATGCCAGAAGCAACTTGAAAAACTGCAAGTCGCTTCTGGTGTGAGAGAATCAGCCATCTGCAGAGATGTTGCCCAGGGGATGGCTGGATGTGTTACCATCCTGCAGAAGGCATCTCTTATGTCCCCGCATGGGAGCTGGGGCTCACAGGCAAGAGCTCATCCTGTTTCATGGATTCAAACCACTGACCTTCAGGTCAGCAGTACAGCTGGCACAAGGGTTTAAATTGCAAACCAGTATTTATAAATTTATTTATTTACTTTATTTATATACCGCTTTTCTCAGCCCTCAGGCGACTCAAAGTGGTAAAGTTATTTTCATATTAGACTGGTCATTATTTTTTTAAAAAAACAATCTCAAATACAAATATTTATATCAGAAACTGGATTGAATCACTATTTTTTGCTAATAAGCTGGTTAAGACCACAGACAATCCTACTCCAACAATATTGCAATCTTGTCAGCTTAGTATTATGTGGCAAGACATTTGCAGCAAAACAGACCCTTACCTTTCCTGCTCCTATTACTTTCTCAGCTGCATATACAGAATCACCACATCTGGAACACTTCTCTGCTCCTCCAAATTTTTGGGCAAATTTTGAAGTATTTGGACTTGTTGTAGGTCGATGGGATGGTGTGCTAAAACAAACAGATGCCCTCATATGAATATCTTATTTTCATTCTTTCAGCTTACAAAAATCCCACTCCAACAAGTATTTTCAATGCAGCATCTAGTTCTATTTGGAGCTGCTTGCTAGTTTTAAAAAGTCTGACCTGATTCCAATTGTTATTCTCAATTTGAGTAACTCACTAACCAATGGGAACACAGTAGGCCAACATATATCATGCTCTATTAATTTGATGGGTCTGTTCTAATTGAAACCAGCAACTGGATTTGGGCTTCTGTTTGTAGTCTTGCCATTCAACAGAGAAATCAGCTCCTGAAGACCAGGACTGTCACTTTGTATGTGGATTTAAAGAAATCCAGGTTTCATAACTCAGCTTTAGCGTAACAGCCAACTAAGCTGAAGCACAACTCGTTCAAATTCATCAATATCTTCATCCTGCTCCCAACAGACCTTACGTCTTACATCCTGAATCTATTCAGCTTTGGCCAACAGCTGCTTGAGCCTGTACAATGAAAACAACATCATTTGTTGCAACTGTGAGAGAGCGATGCCACCCCTGCCTATCAACTAAATGAAACTCAGAGCATGTAATAAGATGTAACAGGTGGCACCAATAGGCAAGAGATGGCACAAGACCACTAGAGCCTTTATGCTCAGCCTGAGTATTTTGCAGAGCGGAACAGGACGGCTCTTAGCTGAAACCACTGGCTCAGATCCATGCTAATCCACAGCCATACCTCTCATTTGCTGCTCCACTGAATATACATAATGCTGTTTTTACGATTTCATATTCCATTATCTGACACTAGAGATATCAGAGTATTTGGAAGCAATCTTCAAATAAACCCCTTCGTTTAAGCTAAAAGTTCAAATATGCCCTATTAAAATAAAATCATTTAAACAAATGATTCAGTGGGATTTTAAAACTTCAGCACAGCTTGAGAGTTTATGGTGCTAAAAGTCATAAATGCATAAATACTCCTTTGTAGTTGATGTGGTCAAGATAGAGGCAACATTCCTGCAATCTTTGAAGATGAGCATCTGTACCAATTTTCTCTTCTATGCCTACCATGTGAAGAAGGAGACTCTTGGAGGCAAGGATTCTCACCAGCTGAGTAACTCTAAATTCCCCTGTGTCAAAGAGACTATGATGAGCTTCCCCAGTACAAGCACTTTTAGGTAAAGGTTTTTCTCTGACATTAAGTCCTGTCCTGTCCGACTCTGGGGGTTGATGCTTGTCTCCATTTCTAAGCCAAAGAGCCAGCACTGTCTGTAGACATCTCAAGGTCATGTGGCCGGCATGACTGCATGGAGCTCCATTACCTTCCCATCGGAACTATACCTATTGAACTACTCACATTTGCATTTTTTTAACTGCTAGGTTGGCAGACGCTGGGGATGACAGTGGGAGCTCATGCTGCTCCCCAGAGTCGAACCTGCAACCTTTTCGGTCAACAAGTTCAGCAGCTAAGTAGTTTAACCCACTGCGCCACCAGGGGCACAGCACTTTAAAAATAAATATAATGCTTCAGAGGTAATATTTTGGATGGAATCATGTTTATGAGCAGTTCAGCTATTTCCATAACTGCAAGGGTGGCAAGGGAAGGCAGGGAGAATCCATACCTAGGTAGCCTATTTCTCAAGTGCCTTTAGGGCCAACTGCTCTTCCAATGTTTTTTTCTCTTCCTTTCACTAGCTATGGTGATGTAACTATACTCCCAACTAAGCCACCATTGTTCTTTCCTGAGCCAACCTATGCTGGTTAGGGTGGAAGATGAAGTAACTAAAGCTAAGGAAATGAAGGACAGAAGTGCACACAAGCACACATTGAATACTGCCAAGCCACAGTCTGGTTTTGCATCCCAACTGACTAGTCTGTTGCCCGATCCAGCATTAAACTGGTATTTATGAAGTTCACGTCAACTTCAGCATTATTAAGATGTAAGCTCCTACTCAACATCTTTTTAAACACTAATTTCCCAAGTCAAGCAAGCTTCATCCAACAGGAAACTACACACAAGCAGTGGCTTTGGCAATGTTCCTAAAGCTATAATCACTACTACAGGCAGAATACAAGATGGCTGACTTTCTCTTAATGATGTTTATTTTCTGAACAGCCTCAAGTTAACTTTTTTGTATGTCAGGAGCAACTTGAGCAATTGCAAGTCGCTTCTGGTGTGAGAGAATTGGCCATCTGCAAGGACGTTGCCCAGGGACTCCTGAATGTTTTGCCATCCTGTGAGAGGCTTCGCTTATGTCCCCACATGAGAAGCTGGAGCTGACAGACAGAAGCTCACCCCGCTCTTCTCATCCCCAAGGGGTTTCAGAGCAGCTTACAATTATGACAAAATTAAATGCCACATAACACATACAGATAAACAAATACAACAAATCAAGCAATAAAACAGTTAAAACATATAAATACAATAAAACAGATTAAAATCATAGTGCCTAGTTCCATAATCGTTATTTGTGCTGCTACATTCAAATCAGATTCCATATTGCACTACTCCTCAAATGTCTGAGTCCAAAGCCAGGTCATTAACATTTCCTGAAGACCAGGAGGGAGGGGGCCAGTCTGATGTCTCTTTGGAGGGAGTTCCATAGTCGAGGGGCCACCACTCAGAAGGCCCGGTCTCTCGTCCCTACTAGTCACACTTGCAAAGGGTGTGGGATCAAGAGGAGGGCCTCCCCAGCAGATCTTAACACTAACTGGCTCATAGAAGGAGATACATCTGGACAAATAAATTCAGCCAAAACTGTTAGGGCTATTATTCTCTTTTGCTTACAAAAGCTAACGTGACTGGCATTTGGTACCTAATATGGGTTATGAGAGTCTATGAAGATGGCAGTTCTCAAAAGCTGAGGAGATGGCTATTTCCTGCTGGAGTGCTGTCATTCAGGTTCTAGCTAGCTAGAAACAAACCCATTCTGTCCTTACTTGTCATGCTTGATGCCCAGCCTTTCCCCTCTGTCCATGTTGAGAGTGCCTGCGCCCTGGCCATAGCCATATCCTTTGGGACCATACTTCTTTCCGTAGCACGACTTGCAGTACACCTCTTCATCGTGGATGGCTACTGTTGTGCTGTCTAAGTTCTTCCGGCAGACCACTGGAGAGAGAACATTTGCTTTTAAAAGTGGGTCTGTTATAGTTTACTATTCTGTAACAGAAAGAAAGATCACATGCCAGATGTTCTCACTTCTCTTTCCTTGCCTATGGCAGTTCCCAGTAAACTATACAGAACAATTATAAGATTAAAGAGGATTTGGATTTTGTTTTTTTGTTCCGCTGAATTATATTCTGGTCTATGAAAGGACCTTTCTCTCCTTCCCCTTCCTGACTGACATTTACAGAACAGAAGCCTGATCCTGTTTAATTAGTGAGCCTGCAATGAATCCAAGCGCTGAGGTCAGCAATTTTTCCTCCTGCTTTTTAAAATCACACAGAATTACCATCTCTATTAGTGCCAACATATTTAGTTATGCAACAGTTCCCAAGCCCACTTTTACTTGATGAAAGTATCCATAAATAGATGTCACAGTGGATTAAAATGTCTGGGTCTCCAGTTAAAATCTAGTGGTTTAGCATAAAGCCAACTTTAAGCTACACCTGGAAAACTCTTGGCAATCTCTTGTCTCACCTATATCTGCTTTTTCCATTTCCAATTATTTGTTTCGTTGCCTGGGAAAGGAGGCCAGTGTATCCCCATTACAAAGAAAGATGGTTGTTTTCACAGGCAACTCTCACAGCCAAGTCTCAATGGACTACTGTCCATACAAATCTAAAATACTACCTGTTTCAGGGCAACATGCTTAAATTCGCAATAAAGGCAAACATTCAAGATCAGCATTGTTTTGACTGTCAAGATTGTTTTCCCCAAAAATAACTGTGTATAAATCTAAACAGATGCAAATCCCAATTCAGTTTTAGAAAAAAAAATAAGCATAACTTTTTATCTATTTGTTTTTAGTTTTTACTCTGAAAGTATTGGCAAATAGCATAACTGAGAAGTGTGGTAATTGGGATCAGTTAATACTTTTTTTTCCCCTTCATGCCAGGTGCTATTTGCAACTGCAAGTTGCTTCTTGTGTGAGAGAATTGGCCGACTGCAAGGACATTACCCAGGGGATGCCCGGATGTTTTTTACCATCCTATGGGAGGCTTCTCTCATGTCCTTGCATGGAAAGCTGGAGCTGACAGATGGGAGCTCACCCCGCTCCACAGATTACAACCTCCGACCTTTTGGTCAGCAATCCTACCAGCACAAGGGTTTAACCCACTGCGCCACCAGGGGCTCCTACAGTTAATACTGCATGTAAAGTTAGCGCGGGACACCTATTTTAAGTGCGGGATTGAGGCTCCAGGAGAACAGGATTCAAATCCCTGCCAAGCCATGGAAACTCATTGGGTGACCTTGGACAAGGCACGCTCTCTGAGCTGAGGAGGAAGACGATAGCAAACCTCTCCGGAGTAAATATTGCTAAGAAAACCAAAATAGAGGGTCTCTGCAAGTCCAAATTGACATCAAAGCATGTAATAAGCACTAGTGAAACAACTCTTTTTGCTTCTATTTGCAAAAATGTAGAAACGGGGCCGTCTTTACATCTAGTGTGACCACTACCATTGCTTGTCAAAAGTAAATCCGCCATATGAAACAAGATCTAACTTTTCATTCTTGGATAAAAGCAATTTAGTAATACATTCCAGGCTTCTTCAAAGCATCATTTGGTTTCTGAAAATAAAGATTTTAGACCTCAGATCTACTAGGAGCCATGAGGATGAGGCACTGCATTTTCATGCCACATTTTCAGAGGACAGTTGTAATTACATATCCCCATTTACCACCAAGTATTCCATTTATCTTTAGAAATCTATTCCTTCATAATTCACAGAAGTGAACCTCAGCAGGAAAGAAGCTTGAAAAAATATAACAAGTTTGAGATTGCTCTTCCCAGACTAATCACGTTCCACTCCCAGACTTACTTACTGGCATATTAGACAGTTGTTAACAACTTCCCTACCTTTCCTAATTTACAGCTACTAAAGATTCTAGCTGACGACATCCCCAACACTTCTTTACATATGTGCTACCATCTGCATTTTTATCTCATGATAGTGCTGTTTTTTTAATTGCAGTTGCATTACCAAGCAATTATTTTCATATGCTCCTTTGTTTAGCCTCTTCTAATGAACAAGCTTTTTAGTACAAAAATCCAACGCTTCAATAAGCTGTTTAGGCTAAAGCATAATCACATGGGTTCTGCTCGTTTAAGACAATCCATGGGCTTCTATGCCAAAGCCTAACAAAGTTTTGGCTCCTATACTCTTGAAACAGAAAAATAACCAAATCATTTAATTGACTTATTTGGGAAGAGATCCAACTAGTGAATACTTTTTCACAAAAACAAACAGCTTTTAGAACTAAAAACTGCCATTCTGATGGGCTGTTCTTCGTATTATGTAATGTTTGATTCTTAAAAATCAGCTAATCAACTGGAATTCAGGTTTTCAGTCAGAATTGACCACATGGACAAAATTTTGTCATTATTGGGATGGAGCTGGTTCAGACTCATAAAGAGTTCCAGAAAATTTGACAGCTTGTGCACTATTGTGCAGTTGTATCTGAAGGTATCTGCCTCCCTGTAGATTTTGGGGTTTAACTGTTACGAAGATGAATTGTAGGAAGCACAAAAGAGTTCTTGCTATCTGAAAACACATTCCCTACAGAGTCAAATGTACTTAACAGAATAATAATAATAATAATAATAATAATAATAATAATACACAGGGATTGTGGCGTAGCTGGCTGAGTGTCAGCTGCATTAAGATCACTCTGACCAAAAGGTCATGAGTTCGAAGCCAGCCCGGGTTGGAGTGGGTTTCCAACCAATTGTGTAGCCTGTTGTCGACCTTTGCAACCCGAAAGACAGTTGCATCTGTCAAGTAGGAAAATTAGGTGCCACCTTAAATGTGTGGGGAGGCTAAATTAACTAATTTATGAGGCCATAAAAAAGACTCCAGCAAAGCCCAGCAAAGCATGCGGGGAATGCGGAAGTACTTCATCAGTGTCGCAGATGGACGATGAAAGCGACAGCTCCCTGGCGGCCAGAAAAAGTTAAATAGCCTCTGTCTATGTCTGTATATGTTGTATGTCAAAATTGGCATTGAATGTTTGCCATATATGTGTACACTGTAATCCGCCCTGAGTCCCCTGCGGGGTGAGCAGGGCGAATATAAAAGCTGTAAATAATTTATTTATATTCCGTTCTATCTCCCCGGAGGGACTTAGGGCAGATTCCAAACACAAAGAGCCAACATTCAATGCCCGAATACAACAACAATACATCCATACTAACAAAATTTAAACAGCCCAACATATAAACATGAATTATGACTTAACAACTAAAATTAAATTAAAAAACACAGCCTGTTACAATAGACATAAGACAAAATATCAAACAGAAGCATCGATTTTCCAGTTCCTTGGGGAAAATAGATTGATCATTGCTCAAGATATCTATTGAGCTGGTGAGGTGAGCAGGGCACAGATATGGGTGGTAGCTAATAGTCAGATGTATAATGGTAGTATTACCAACTACTCCTCTTCCTCATAAGCCAGTGAGCTGCTTTTTGAAAGCAGGGAGGGAGGGGGCTATCTTTAACTCCTTAGGAAGGGAGTTCCAGAGGAGGGGGGCAGCCATGGAGAAGGCCCTTTCTCTCATTCCCACCAGCTGCGCTTGGGATGGGAGTGGGACTGAAAGGAGGGCCTCCTCCGATGACCGCAATGTCCAAGTTGGTCTATAGTGGGAGATCCAGTTTGTCAAATAGTCTGGGACCCGAGCAGTTTAGGGATTTAAAGGTAAGAACCAGCACTTTTTATTATTCAGATATCTCACAGGTAAATCAATGGATGTGGAACTTGGGCAGGGGTCCTCAAGTTAAGGCCCGAGGGCCGGATACGGTCCTCCAAGGTCATTTACCCGGCCCTCGCTCTGAAATGACTTGAAAGCACACAACAACAACAACAACAACAACAACAACAATCCTTTCTTATCAGCCAAAAGCAGGCCCACACTTCCCACTGAAATACTAACAGGTTTATATTTGTTAAAATTGTTCTTCATTTTAATTATTGTATTATTTTAAGTGTTTTTGCAGTACAAATAAGATATGTGCAGTGTGCATAGGAATTCATGCTTTTTTCAAATTATAATCTGGCCCTCCAACAGTTTGAGGGAATGTGACCTGGCCCTCTGTTTAAAAAGCTTGAGGACCCCTGATATAGGGTGATGGGGAACCACCTGGTATTCTGAACTCTGTGAATATTCATTCATAACTTTAGACATAAAATTGAACCCTGTAGAGCTAAACCATCAAATTGTGTTCCTACCACTTTTGCTAAGTTTTTTTGACTGATAAGAGCTCAGTAAGTACTTACTACAAAGAAAGCAGCATCTGTGAAAGCTTCTGCCATCACACTGAACCTCTTCTGCATGGTACACTGTTCTGCCACAAGCTCCACACTTGTTTCCACCTCCCCAATTTGGCATTGTGAGCCTGTAAAAAAGTATGTCAGCAATTACAACAGGGAAATGCACTCTTACATACCATTCTGAAGAAAACTTTGGGGAAGAAAACAAATTACAGAAGCATTTAGCTAAATTATCAAGCCTGATGGTCATTTTCCTTCGCCTCCATCATAGCCTAGAGTACGAGCAGGATGAAGCAAGTCTTAACACATTTCATAGAATATTGAAGCTTTTAAGTTATGTTTAAGAGAACCAACATTTTAAAAGTACATCCATAGATATTTGAATGAGAAAAGCAAGCTAATCCACTCAAAAATGGTTGTATCAAACCGATAGAAACAGGCTTGGGGGAATTTACTGGAATATTGCACTAATATGGAGAGATACTGCTAGAATGCCATCACAATTCAAGAGCAGGTGGATAACTCCTATCTTTGCCCTTTATGTTGGTCAGAACAATAAGTCTTTGCTCCCATCACAATTTTCCATTAAGTATAAGAAGTAAACATGTGCAGTCCATTTTCCTCTGAAAAAAGAAAGCCAAGTGCAATACCAAGTTGCTTATTGTTTCCAATGTTTTGGACAGGCAGTTTGAAAAAAAGTAACACATTACAATACCATTAATAATGTGTTACTTTTAGACAAGGGCGCATCATGTTATTGCATTAAAACTATAGAAAAACATTATTTTTACTAGCATACTAAATCTAAAAGAAGCTCTCGGTGGTGCAGCGGGTTAAACGGCTGAGTTGCTGAACTTGAAAAAGCACAATGTTTTCTTCTTCAAACATAATGTATGACAATGCCTTTACTAATACTTTACTTTGTAGATATTCACTGATTAATTAAAATTCATGTTATTAAAGTGAACATGCAAAGCAGCTTATAATAGTCTCACATATATTAACTGTGAGAACAAAAAACATCAATGGAAAAAACTCTATAAAAGAAAATTTTAAAATCCGCTGAAGACCATTTCCAAGTGTTTACTTAAATAGTAGGGCAATAGGTCAAACCTCTTGGGTACAAAATTTTCCTAATCTTACTGTCATCAACAAGAACAGCCTTTTCCTTCTCCCTTTCAGCTACAGTAATGGTATAATCTTGTTTGCATGTTTCATATAGCTGCAATTACTGGAATTAAAGTTATTTCCATCTCACTGAGACTGATCATATGATTTGCTATAATCCATTTTTCTATTCGAAATTTTAGTTTGCTTCACTACTGATGTTAATATCTAACATGACTGCTGACATTTTGTTAAGTTTTAGATGTGTCCAATACTGGCTGTAGTTCGCTTTTTGCCATGCAGTAAGTCTTTCTCAAGAAGAAAACATGCATGTTCTTATTTAAATTATTCTGCAATGCCTAACCATGGAGTCTTTTGTTGTCAATGTTTTTCTTCCTCAAACATTTGAGAAATACTAAATACAAGCATTGTACTTTTGTAAACTGCACTAACTTTCAATTTCTTCATCTCAAGGCATCAGGAACATAGAAAGCTGATTATGCTAAGTCAGACTATTTTTCTGTCTAGACCAGTATTGTCAACTTTGATTCTCCAGGGTTTAAGACAAGATTTTTCTCCTACTTCGACCTAGCCATTTCTGATAACCAACAAAGTATCCAATTGCTCAGGGTGTGGAAACCAAAGATAAAGGAAGTTGAGTGTTGGAGAACCTCAATGAGGAGAAGACACTTGAAACCCCTTTTCCATTCTCCCACCTCCTAGTCTTCAATTAGACTCCGGGACTGTTTTTGACCCCCTATCTCTTCCTCCTCCCCACGCACATGGCCATTCAGTGGTCCAAAGAAAGATGGGAGACAAAGATTGTTGCCACCTCTGTTCAGCAACACAGTGATATCATTCTCTAGGACTCTGAGGATACCCATATCATGGTGTGCTGCGAGTTATCAAAACACAACCAGCAGCAATGATCATCATTTGCCTGACATTGATCACTAAATTCAGCCAGCCAAGGCCACTGGATGTGCAACAAATAGGTGTCACTGCCTGTTTTCATGTGTTTCCAGATCTACTGATGTGTATTTTTGGCAAAGTTTGGAGGGAGAGGACACAAAGTCAACTGAGGACCATCACTGGCAATGTCCAAGCTCCATAAAAATAATCCTCACTTGACTGCCCCAAGCCATCCACAACATGGCCATGCTACAAGTGAAGATCATTGCTAGGTGCATTCTGACAGTCTATGCACAATATTTCAAGTATCCACCAGGACATCCTAATGGTCCTCCTGAGTCCTACCAGCTACCAGAACATAGTTCACTGCTCTCCATCTACTCCAAGGTGATGTTGGAGGGCAGGAAAAGCATGAGTCAAGAGAGATTTTGTCCCTGTTGTGAAAAAAAAGTTATTGAAAATTTCACTGTTTCCAATTATGTTGACTAAATTATGTATGTGCTCACCCCCTTGAAAGAATGAATAATTGAAATATGCATATCCCTATAGGAACCATTCCTGGCTTTGCTTAGATTCTGACTTTAAAAGAGATGGGATAATGTTCAGGATAATATAATGGAACAAGTTACTGCATGTGGTTTTTCACAACTTTCTAAGGATGAAGTAGCACTCTCATTTGAATTCAGAAGCTGTAACACAGATGTCTATCACTTTTACATTACAGTTCTTCCTGCTTCGGCTTTAATGTTCTGTTGGGAACGCCATCATTTACAAGACTAATCCACAGCTAATCAAGCCAACATGAAACATGGCAGTCTAGAGATCATGCCTCTGCGGCAATGATTTTTATGAATTCTGTTGGCTTCAAAATAATCAACTGTATAACAGAAAATTGGAGTTACTACCCTCAGAAACAAGGCTTCTCATACAAGAAAGGGGAAGGCGCAAATGTTTTAGGGTACAATGTGAATCTGGCCCATTTCCTAATAATCTGGAATCAGCATAATACTTCCCTCTTCACAGCCAATTCCTTGAAGGGTATGTTGAAATAATTTTAAATAAAGCACTGGCTGTTCTGCTGGCTTTAGACAGCTGGGACTTGGAAGGGAGGTTAGTTTTAGTTGTTATGGAGTAAGCCTTTCAAGGAAGGGTAGCTAAAGAGCAAAACGACCATTGTTCAAAGGCAGCTATTCTTGGAACGTGGAAAAATGAGATTAAAAATTAATCCAAAAAAGGACATTTGTGCAGTCTCTACACAGCAGTTATAAAGTCCACTGTGTGATAAATGCCTGATCTAGAAGCTAAGTTTTGGGTAACAACACCAATTTTAGCTACTCGGCACATGCCTTTACAATTCCCAGAAGTTTAATACTGCTTATGCATGCTTTAGTATTATCCAGTGTTCACTTATCGGGGATTGGACCTGATAGCCCCTAAGACCCTTTCCAACTCTATAATTCAAGATGAGGCTGAAGGGCTACTTAATATAGTATGTGTTATTTTTGTTCTGCCGTTATTAGCACCATCGGCATCTACAAAGTCAGGATTCTTTACATTTATTCAAGGATCTGGCTGTACTGACATCATGCAAGGCAAACAGAATCCAAGAAGGGTCGGCAACTCGTTCTGTTTCCAAACCATGTGTCTTATAAGATGATATGATTTTAAAACATCTCCCAAAGAAGAGGAACATCATTTAAACAAAGTTTTTTGTGCCGTCGCGCCTGGGGGCTATAACTCTTAGTGAAAGAGACATAGATGTGACATCTTTCCCCCAAGGGATTGCTTCTTGCCTTCCTTTAAAGAACTGGAACTCCCAAGGACTAAAACACTGTAGATAAGTCAAAATAGGTTTTATTGTTCACAAAGAGTTATCCCTTTAAGGCAGGGGTCCTCAAACTAAGGCCCAAGGGCCAGATACGACCCTCCAAGGTCATTTACCCAGCCCTTGCTCAGGGTCAACCTATTAGTATTTCATTGGGAAGTGTGGGCCTGCTTTTGGCTGATGAGATAGGATTGTTGTTGTTGTTGTTGTGTGCTTTCAAGTCATTTCAGACATAGAAACAACTTGAAAGCACACAACAACAATCCTATCTCATTAGCCAAAAGCAGGCCCACACTTCCCATTGAAATACTAATAGGTTTATATTTGTTAAAATTGTTCTTCACTTTATTTATTGTGTTGTTTTTAAGTGTTTTTTTGAGCTACAAATAAGATATGTGCAGTGTGCGTAGGAATTCATTCATGTTTTTTTCAAATTATAATCCGGCCCTCCAACAGTTTGAGGGACTGTGACCTGGACTGTGATCTGTTTAAAAAGTTTGAGGACCCTTGCTTTAAGGCAATAAGCTGGAAGTTTCAAAGGGGGTAAAGGAAATATCCATTACAGTCTCTGGTTGTCTTGGGTCCAAGGAGATTTCACAGCTAAGAAGCTTTTCCTGTTCCCTCTTTTCTCAATGGCTGTGAAGGTCGGAACAAACACAACCCCCAGTCCAATGGCCTATGTTGAAGGCACAGAGTCTTCCTCTTGATGCCAAAGGACTGATTTGAAGGTGCTTGGGTCTCCTCAACATTGTCCAGGGCGATCTGGACATGAAGCATGAGTCCCAAAGGTAAAAACCTTAGAATTGGTGATGAGAGGTAACTTAATTAAGGGCTTTAGAGCCAAGTCTCTTTCTCACGTCTATCTGATAGAAAGTTTGATGGTAGAATGGAAAAGGAAAGGCTCTTCCCTCCTCCAGGAAGAGGTGGAGCCAAGCAATTGAGCTGAGGAAGCAATATAACTGGTGCAAACAACATTGATTGACAGCTATAAATAACCAATCAATCCAACTATACATTTACAAACTAGGCAAGTTTGGGGATGTTATACAGTTTAAACCTTTGCACTTTAAAGTTCTTCACACAGGTGGTGCCACTCGCGCCGTCACATTTTTGTTGCTATTCCTTACTTGAAAGCTATCCTAAGTCATAGATGAAGCTATAATTTTTTTTCTTCCCACTTCAAAAAACCAGATACCAAAAGGAGAACAACCCCTGTATTCATGGGATCAGTACCACAAAATGTCATATTTATGCATTTCCTAGGTTGGTGTACCTTTTGGT